TACATAGATCAATTATTAAATAAATATATTTTTAGTTTCGATTGGAATAGAGAAACTGATGCAACATCACGTATACCAGCATCCAGAGAGTTATAAAAGCAAGGACCCTGATAATTTGCGGAAAATTTTCTAATATTAGTTCGACAACTTGGAACATAAAATAAGCTGGAGGCCCGAGTATTATAATTGTGAACTTGATTAGTTTTTATAAATGAACTGGCTAAATTCGCAGGCAGTAAATTGTTCTCACATTTGTACATAAAGATTCCTAATTGAAATAGGTAAATATTATTCAGTTTTAAGATATTTAGATTCCTAAAAATAGCATCGGTATGCGCCTCATATACTTCCCTGTTGATGATTCTAATGACACGCTTTTGTAAAAGATGAATTCGATGTATACACGATGGATACGTGGATCCCCAAATTATTATACAATACTGGAGATACGGGTAAATAAGAGCATAGTAAAGAGTACGCAATGCAGATTTAGAAAGGGAAAAGCTTGATTTGTATATAATACCTATAGACTTTGATATTTTACTTGCAATATGTGATATGTGGCTTTTCCAGGATAAGTGTTCATCCAATATTACCCCTAGAAACATGGTTTCTTTGACCTGATCTATCTTTTGACCATTTATCTTTAACGACAAATCAAACGTTTGCCTTTTTAGTCTCGGTCTGAAAACCATAAAATTAGATTTTTTCTCATTTAGTGACAACATGTTAGCCCTAAGCCATTCAGAAATATTTTGCATTTGCGAGTTGACAACATTCATTAGTGTAGGCATATCGTCATGAGAGAAAAATATATTAGTATCATCAGCAAACAATATTAATTCCAATACATCGGATGCGTTACAGATATCATTAATATATATAAGAAAAAGCAAGGGACCAAGGACTGACCCTTGGGGCACACCACAGATAACATTATTATACGAAGAACAAATCCCATTGTATTCCACAAACTGTTTCCTACCGGAGAGGTAATTCTTAATCCAGTCAAGGGCCAGTCCTCGAATCCCATAATGATAAAGTTTCCTCAACAATATATCATGATTCACAGTATCAAATGCTTTAGATAGATCGATGAAAATACCTATAGTATATTTTTTTTTATCAACCGCTTCGGTGATTTTATTACATAAGCTTTGCAAAGCTAGTAAAGTAGAATGGCTTTTTCTAAATCCATACTGGTTATGAAATAGTATACCATGTTGTTCAAGATAATTAGTTATGCGGTTGTGAACAATCTTTTCAAATATTTTAGAGAATATAGGTAAAACAGAAATAGGCCTATAGTTGGAAAAAGCACTGTTGTCACCCGATTTAAACATAGGAACAACTCGAGCAATTTTCAATTGTTGAGGAACAATACCCGAGTTAATGGACAAATTAATTAAATGCGTCTTCAAGAATTAAATGACTTGAACCTCTTACTATCCACATAGGTATATTATCATAACCAGAAGCAACACAATAACGAAGCGTATTAATAATTTTACCAACCTCTTGCTCAGTTGTAGGTTCAAGAAACAAGGAATTTATAAAATTGCCACTAAGATAAGAATGAAAAGAACTAGCACCTGTAGGAATTGTTTTAGCCAAATTCGGACCAATATTTGTAAAGTAATCACAAAATCGATCAGCAATCGCCTTAGGATTAGAAATGAACTGATTATTAACTTTAAACTCATGCGGTAGTTTCCGACAGGGATGCCGGAAGATCGATAATAGCGGGTGCAGATATTCATATATTCGTGTTCACAGACTGTAAAAACAATCGATTTCAAAAGAAATTAATTGGGCAGAACGCGAATATATGAATATCTGCACCCGCTATTATCGATCTCCCGGCATCCCTGGTTTCCGAGTTGGTTTTTTCTTATTTATAACCTCGTTTAGAATCTTCCAGGTATTTTTAGTATTAGATTTAACATGTTCAAGTTTTCGTTCATAGTACAACCGCTTAGCAATACGTATGGAATGATTAAGTTTATTCTTACAGTTTTTGTATTGAGTTGCATTAACAGAGCACGGATTACGCAAACATTTTTGGTACAGTTTGTTCTTTCTTTTTATGGATTTCAGAAGACCTGTCGTCGTCCAAGGTTTCCTAAAAGTATATCTAGAAGCTTTTAATCTTTTCAAAGGGAAACATTGATTGAACACGTCGTAGAATTTGTTTACAAAACTATCATAGGCATTTTGCGGATCATTATATTGCGGAATATCGGACCAAACGGTTCTGCTTAACTGTTCTTGAAATTTAAATAAATTGTTTGCATTTTTTTCACGAATAACAATAGGAGTGTCATCATCAACATTGGGAAGCACATCATGAACAATACAGAATATGGGTAAATGATCAGATATGTTAGTAAACAATAAACCACTGAAAGAAAAATTCTCGAGGTGATTAGAAAATATATTATTAATAAGCGTCGCTGTGTTTGATGTTATTCTTGTCGGACGGGTTATTAAGGGGAAGAACATATTTGAATACATAATGTCGAGAAATTCACTAGTAAAATGGTGACAATGTTATTTCATTAAATCTAGGTTAAAATCACCCATTAAATAACAAAGTTTATTTTCCTTAGAAATCGTTGTCATAAGAATGTCAGTGCTTTTAACAAATTCATTTACCGGCTGGTGTGGGGGTCTATAAACAACCCCGACAATAATGTTTTTCCCTTGCGGGCGACATATCTCTATAAATAACGACTCTATTGTAGAATCCTCAAAACAAAGGTCATTACGAGGTTTATATTGCAAATTGGAATCTAAATAAATGCCAACTCCCCCTCCTGTTCTGTGTTGACGATGGTTGTGCACAAAATTATAGCCCTCAATACTACAACTGTGTTCATCATTTTGTAACCAAGTTTCTGTAATACCAATGACTGAAAATTTAGTGTCAACACTAGCGAGTAAACTAGTCAAATTAGCATAGTTACGAGACAAACTACGCATATTAAAATGAATAACAGAAAACAGATTACACGTAGGGCTAGGTAAGGTATTTTTTAGCTTAGCGGAAAAAGTAACCTCAGTAAAATAGTCGCAACTAAATTCTTCAAGATAAAAATTATAATCAGGATCTAAATCAGTAGAGAGGGCTAAACCAGTTCTATGACAACCAGGCAACAATGGATTAAATTTTAGTGAACGAAAACGGCCCTCATCAAAACTAACAGGTCCATTTAAAAGTTCAAATAATGCTAATTGAAATTCATCATCATCAAGATGGTGAAACGGAAATACAGAAGCGAATTCAAGTTTTGAACAACAAATAACTTATCTGAACAATCCTTAGCTAGGCTTCTATTGATAACTGATCTTGTAATCTTGAAACTCTTTCAACGTAGTAAACGATAACACAGGGGATGATTCATCTTTTCTTAAATAAATCTTGGCTTGTCTGGACCATACATATTTAAAATTATGACTCCTCTTGAAATGCTTGACCTCTTTCAACAGTATGCGACACTTCGGAGTTAGACTTTCATTAATATAAAGCCGTGTGCTGTGGGTGAATCCAAGATCCCGAGCAGATTTATGTCGGAGATTCTTTTTCATACTCATGATTCTATCTCGAACATCTCGTCGAGTAAATTTTGCTATAATCGGAGCAATAAAACCATTGAAGCTGGCAGGCGGTGACTTATAGAAATATCTTGATCATCTAATTTAAGTGAAGGGTCAGCAAGTTCAACTACGCCTTTAACTAGACTCTTAGTATCCTCATCTATATTGACTGGCACACCATGGATTTCAATTAGATCTCGCCTTAGATATTGCTTTATGCTTTCCGTGTCTGATTCAAATTCTGCAACTTGACATTCCAATAACTTAATACGTTCACGAAGTTGAGAACTCTCTGTACGAAGAGCCTTGTTTTCTTGCTTTAGTTCAGCCACTGAAGTTATCAGTTCTTCGAATTTTACACAAAGAAAGCTCTGACTTTTCTTTACTTCTTCAAGATCATTCTTGGTAGATTTTGTAAACTTATCAAATAGCACATTCATTTGTTCCGACTGCAGTTTCAGGCGCTGATCAAGAAATTCTTCCAGTCCAGTCGAACCGGCAGCCATGTTAGCTTTGTCAACATCGTTTTCAAAGCTTGATTTTTTTTTCTTTTTCGGAGGCATTATGTCAAATTTGATCAATAACACTTATATTCTTAACAAATCATATAATGTGGTGATATATAGTAGCTTAAAAGCTTCGTAAATTGAAAAAAATCAAAACATTTTGGCGGAGTACTTCAATGCATGTCCTCACTGCCTCACTCCAACGACATGGAAAGTCTCACAAATTCTGTAAGTCTCGAGTTTGAGATATATTTGTTTTGTTATTGCTATAGTGCTATATATACTGCTTTCTATATTTTACTGACCTTGCTTTTTAAAAGACGTGAAATACAATTTAGATCGAACTTTGACTTCAACATTACATGTAATCTTCTTCCCACCATACAGGTTGTAGATGTACGGAATGTTGTGCTCGCCATGCTCAAAGTCCTCTGGGGATGTCATGTTTGGTTTCTCCATACTTTCGAAAATATATTTATGCTGACAGGTGAAATTTTTTGGTTCAATCCAGGAGATGTTGGCGGATTCACTGGGACACATCACAGTGCGATGCACTGCCACCTTATCGCATCCACATTTGCCTAGTAAAGAAGTTGTATAATTTTATGTTGATCATGAAGTTTTTATGTTTTTATGTTGGGTTTTTTGAGAAGCTTCCCTCGACCTTCAGTCTCGGCCAGCTTCTCAGACCTCAAGAAAATATTTTTAAAGTATATAGACCTCCAAGGTGCTAAGTGACATATATTTATTTATCGACTTTTTAATCTGGACTTAATTGCTAAACTTTGTTTTTCGAAGCATGCTCTTGTTTTTAGCAGTGCAACCTCAGTTTCTACGCCAAAAGCCTGGTTCACATATATCTGCGGTATGTCGGCGGGCTTTGTCGTTAGCAATTCAACCAAATAATTCACAATATAATTAATGAATTCATCAACAACTGCAAGCAATGATAGCGCAGGCATACCGCAGATGTGAACTATGCTTCATAAAGTCAATTTAATGAAATATAAAGAAAAATATATTAACGAAAACAGCCAGGAGAGTTTTGAACATGGGGAAAACAAATTCTTGAAGCAGAAAAACACTGATCACTGTTTCAACGAATGAAGCCCGCAAGTGCGGCTGCCTCGATCTTCTACCCTTTAAATAAATAATAAAATAATTATTGCTTTTCTAATTAATAGTCTTCGGTATCCTTTGATAACACAAATTTCGGGCTTGATAGTTATTCGCATCAAGATATTGAATTATATGTAACGCTTGTTCGCAATCTTATTTAATCAAATATCTATCTAGAATATTAAGTAGAGCAAATCGCGCTATTGAAGTGAACAAAATCAGATATCAATGTTGATCAAGCAAGCTGATTTCTGATTGAACAAAATATACATACATAATGAATATTATGAATGAAGTTAATTGATTTCAACCTGCGGAAAATGCATTATAGTAATTTTCGATGGCAAACTTATAGTTTCTCTAAGTTTGCCCAATTTTTATGTATGTTTTTAGACGTAGCCTCCCCCCCGGCCCACTTTCACTTCTTGGGTTCTTTCCTATCCAATACTAGATTCCCTTTCTTACTTTTTCGTAGCGCTTTGCATTGTGGTTATAGTGGTATCACTGATATTCAAGATGGCTTATTTTTTGTCCTGACCCGTGCAAGAACTTTTAAAAAAAGATAGAGTCAGGTGCGCGAAAGCCAACAGCAAAATAATCGCGAAAACATTCAATATTTCCATTCGAGGCCGCTAACTTTATCTGCAGTGAAACCACTATAACCACAATGCAAAGCACCACAAAAATGTAACAAGGGAAATCATCGATTCCCGTGTTGCCGACCGGGGAACAATCAGTCGCCAACTCAATGACGAGTGTGTGTGTGTAGGATCGATCCACCCCTTTCTCCCTCCTCTAGCGGTGCCCCTATGTCTTGAATGGGAAGTGTTTTCGTTATCTTCGGGTTAAAACCTGTCTCTTTAACCTTAATTCGG